AACTGGAAACTATTTAGAATGCTTTTAAACCAATTCCACTTCACTTTGGAACTTCAATAGGGCTCTAAGTCAGAGCATTCTGTTTATAGCATGGATCCTTCAAAGGAGCGGACTTCCCAATTTAGAAATTACTGAAAAACTTCTAGAATGCTCCAGAACTCTTCAAGCCAAAACAAACCTCAGAATTATTTCAGAGAGCCTAACGCCTGGAATGGATAAAAACTGAAAGTTATAAAATGAATAATAAATAATAGGAAAATGTTCCTCTTTCAATTCAAATTCTTGAATTTTTATAATTTTTTCTATTTCAGGCTCTTGATTTTTCCTTACTTCTTTATTCTAAATTCTTAATTTTCTTTTGGCTGTTGAGATTTTTTTTCCAAGTTCTTGAATTCTCATTATTCCTGTATTTTAGAATTTCAGGCTCTTGATTTGTTTTTTAATTTTCAGTCCTGTCTCTTCAAATGGTTTTCTTCCAAAATGAATTTTTCGTTTAAAAAAATCAAGAATTTAAGACCCTTTTGGAATAAACAAAAATTGAAAGTTATAAAATGAGTAATAATAATAAAATATTAGTCCTGAAGACGTCTTTAGGAAGACGTTTGAAAGACGTTTGGTTTTGTAACATACGACGTATTTAAGATGTCTTTAAAACGCCTTGAAGACGTAAGCAGACGTCTAAAAGACGTCTTGAATAACGTTTGTGGACATCTTAGGGACATCTCTAAGATGCCTGTGTACTGTCTGGATAGACACTAAGTAATTCAAATAAATTTAATTCTATACTTTGAGGTTTATAAAGAAATCACTAAATCTTTCCAGTAGTAGAAGAGGAAGACTGGAAACTTGAGACCATGCTTTTGATCTTTGACACCAAACTTTTCGATAATTACTTTCATTACTGATGTTTTTTTTTTTTTAATTTCAATATAGGTATCTTTAATCCTCTATTAAAGGGCATAATTAAGTTTTATTAGAAAAATGCATATATTTGGCGATTTTACCAAAATTCAAAAACTTCCAGATTTTTAAATAAATTAAATTCCAATAACTTTTTTGTTTTCCAACTAATAGTATTATTATTATAAGTAACTTTTTATTCTCCACAAAAAAGTTCTCTTGAGTTTTTTTGATATAATGTATACTTTACGAAATATTCAATAAGTTCGAAAAAAATCAAGATGGCGGCCATTTTTTTCCAAGTTCCACCGATGCGATAAAATGCGATTTTTGAGGGATTAATTAGGACCGTATTGACTACTCATTTTTGCAGAGATCACTTTGCTTACTAATTTTTTCTATCTCACCTGCATAAACCTGCCTAGATTGACTACACTATTGGGCTTCCTTATGATTTTTCCGGCCAAAAAATTTTCCAAATTTTCCTTGACTACGTCATAGAGGAAATTCAGAAAAATGTCCTAACTTACTTTTCCTTTCTTAATTTCCCGTTTTTCCAAGAGTTTCCGGCCCTTTTCTATACCCCATAAAATGGAAAATCGTAATTTTCCGAATTTTAGAAAAACAAAAATTCCATTGTATGGAGGAGGTCAAAAACAAGTGGAAAAGCTATTTGGCATTTTCTCCTGGGAGATCTCCTACGTTTGGAAAAAAATAAAAAAGAAAATCCATAGAGGGGGTTTTCTCAGCCTGACATGGTCTCATTAAATAGGCCATAATTCTGGAAGGCTTGGATCGATTTCAATGAATCATGTTTCATTCGATAGAGAATTCAATTGTCTACAAAATGGCTTTATCCAGAATTTCCAGATTTTTCCCGTTTCTAAGCTATGAGCCTTCAAAGTTGAAATTTCCTAAATTTTTCAATTTAATGAAAAAAGTATATTTCTTAGGAAAAAAATCGATTTATGGGATCTTTAAGGTCCGTTTTATAACGTTATTGAAAAAAAAATTGCAAATTTTCATTTTGATTTTTTTAGGGAAATTTTTCAATTCTATGTTTTTTTGAATTTTAAATATCAAACGGCCATACTTTGAAAACGGTAAGTCTCAGAGGAAATCTCTTCATATGAAAATTGTAGCTCTCAATGAGTACTACAAAAAACTAATTTGAGTTTTTTCTCTACGACTTACAGTTCTTGAATTTTTCAAGTTTGAAGTTTTTTTAAAATTTTAGTGTAAATTTCAACTTTGAGGTTTCATAACTTTGGAACGGTAATAGTTATTAATATTAAAAATTAAGTCATTTTATAGTCAATTTATTCCTCTTTCGAATGAAACATGACTCATTGTAATCGGTCTAGACGTTCTAGAGTTATGAGCCATTTAATGGGGCCATATCAAGTTGAATTCCAAATACAATTTTGGAATTTTCTTCTCGAATTTTTTTCGGGCTTAGGTGGCCTCAAACGGAAAAATGCCAAGAGGTATTTTCTGTTCATTTTGGTTTCCTCTCCCCTAAAGTAAATTTATGTAGGTAGTTAATTTTTCCTTGATTGATAATTCACTAGAAAATTTTGAAATTTTCCTATAATGAGCTCTTAACAACTTTCCTCTTTTTCTTTCAAAAATTTCACAATTTTCCCTTGGTTAGTTATCCAGAAAAAAATTAAAATGTGAGAGGGTAAATTTTTCTAAATAAATTTTGCTTGAAAAAATTAATTTTCCAAAATTTTTTCTGAAGTGATTTTTCATGAGAAAATTTTCCTATAATGAGCTTTCCACTTTTCTTTTTCTCTTCAGAAAATGTCATAGTTTTCCTTTGGATAGTTTTCCGGAAAAAAAATAATTTACAGAGGTAGCATTTAATTAAAAAAAAAAAAAACTGGAAAAGTCCTAAAAAATCGGAAAATTAAGGGAAAAAAGTCAGTTCTAGGGACTTTTTGAGATCCCCTCTACAAAATGGCTATCTTGAAATTTCGAAATTTTGATTTTAGTTTTTGGCCCTATACCTAGAACACAGGAAACTCTGAAAATGACGAAAATCGAAACTTTAATTGGTCATAACTCCGTAACGGTAAGTCTTAGAGGAAAACTCTTCACGGGCAGATTATAGAACTCATCGAGATTTACAAAAAAGCTCATCGAGTCTTACCTCTCTGACTTACCATTTCTGAGATATTTTCAATTAGAAGTTTCAAGGTAAAATGTAACATTTTCATGGACACATTCTAAAAATTTCAAAAACATTGAAACAGTTAAGTATATTGTTGTATGATACATTTGTTAGACCACATTTTGAATATGCCTCAGTTATCTGTTATCTGGGGCAGTCCAATGTCGACAAAATTGAGAAAGTACAAAAAATATTCCTATACGGTACCGGCATATTTATCCGTTTCAAATATTTTTTAATTCCATGTTAAAAGGCTTCAATTTTGTTACCTTAGAGAAAAGAAGAGAGCTTCAAGCTGTGTCCTGTGATATTTATTTTTAACATTGTTAAAAACTGAAATTGGCAATAATTTCGACGTCATTGATGACGTGCATCCATTATTTGCTTAATTTCATTATAGGTCTGTTTCTGCAGAAATCGCAAACCAATCAGAGGGAATTTCATTGGTTGAAACTAGTTTTCTGACTGTTTTCCACCAATGAAATTCACTTTGACTGGTTTGTGATTTCTGTGCGAAGGTACAACAGGCCAGAAAGTTCACCAGTCAAAGTGAAAGATACCCAGCTATCAAAACCAAAGATATTAGAAAGCCAAATTCTATATGCCATGAAACAAATCAAAAGCAATACGACTCTAAGACCTAATGACATACATATCAGAGACGTTTTACTTAATCAACAAAACATAAAAACAATAGTGAGGTTCTACAACTACCAAAATCAAATAACCTAAAAGTATGCAAGGATTATCATCTTTTATCTCAATAGTCTCATGAGCTCCTTTTGGAAGTTTTTTTCTTAGAATTCTACAGACAACACTCTACAAGAAGTGCGAAGAGGTAAGCAGAACTAATCAGTTTGGGTTTAAGAGCGGTTTTGGAACTAGAAAAGCTAAATTCAGTTTGCAGACTTTGGTACAAAACTGTCAAGATCAAAGAAAGGATGTTTTTACATGCTTTATTGACTGAGAAAGCATTTGGCCATGTTAGATATAATCTATTAACATCATATCTTAAGGAATTAGAACTGGATAATAAGATCTTTTGGTAGTTTTTACTGAAATCAAAAAGTGAAAGTTTAATTAGACAACTCCACAACAACAGACAAATTTGAAATAAAAAAAATGTGTCAGACAAAGATGTATCTTGTCTCCAATGCTGTCCAATCAACATGCAGAAAGGGCGTTTGAACCACTCTTGGACAATATCAGATATGCAAACAACATCGCAATATTAGCAGACAATGCAGAATATCTTGAAAATTAACGCTGGCAAAACGAAGTTGAGAATTGTGAGTAGAGACTACTGTGTATACTCACAATCCTCAGCTCTACTACTTCAAAATACTTATTGCTTGAATAACCAAATAGATATGTCCCTAAAAATGTATGTCAATAACGTGTCTCAAATTTCATGCCAAACAAAACATATAAATATTTTATAAATGTCCTAGTTGACATTTATGTATTCATCCATTATTTGTGTTCAATATTTTAAAGGTCAGAGACATTTCCCATTACATATTTGTATCCTACCTGCTCTGACACGTTGCCTTTTTTTGCCTATCTTTCCATGTTCCTTTAATAATTCATTCCCAATTTCATTGTCAGTGCACTCTCTTTTATTGCAAAATGTTTTCGTCAAATATATAATTATTAAAATCAAATTAACTGTTTATTTAGACTATTTAAACTTACCATATTATCAAATGTAAATAATGTAAAGTTTTATAAAATATTTTCCTAAAAAATTTTTCACTAGTCTCATGGTACTTATTGAAATTTTCAATATTTTGGATTTCATTTTAATTTGATTTTAAATTTTTTTTTCATTCAGTCTTTTGAAGTTAACTGTATTTTTATATATTAACAAAAAAAAGAGGAACTGAGGGAGAAAGAAAGAAAAAAGAAAGAATGAAATTCTTACCTAACAAAGTTTTGAGTCGTTCCTGCGGAAATCTAGGCTCCTCTCTGGAAACGGGAATGTCGATTTTGACGTCGCCATTACGACTAGTACCTTTTTCCATTATATCCTCTTCGTCTTCGTCCGCATAACTGGAGCTGCTGTGACTATTATGCGACCAGTGGTCGCTGGTCTTCAACTGGTTGGGCAGAAGAGGTTGTCTTTGGTACAGATCACCTAGAAAAATTCCCATTATTGAGCTTCTTTTCACCTAAATTTGAGCACAATTTCGAGTAATGTGGCAACGTTGCATGGTAATTTTATCATGAGTTTTTTTGTACGTCAAAGTGTTTTTCCTTAGATTTAGCGAGGGATTGAAATTCACAAAAAAAAAAATATACACATGTGGAGAACGATGAACAATTTACTAAGTTTTATTTAAAGTTTTGAAACAAACAACTTCCAAGTTCTACTTGATTTCTGCCATTAAGCTTTCAAGAACTTCAGAGATTAAGTACTACTTACTTGATTTACATCTTGTAGACTTAATTGGAAATTTGAAAAATCCACTTACCAACAATAAAAGAGCAAGAAACCCTCACGAACAAAAAACTAGCGAAAAAATACATGAAAAAGTCGAAACTCATTGTATTACCCAGTAGAAGTAACATTTTCAAACTGAGTGAAATATAAATTTTAATAATAAGTTGAATAGATAATTAGGATCGAAAAAACATGGTTGGTGTCGTTTTGAACAAGAGAAAAGGTACTCATTATATGACACAAAACATACTTTGTTTAATAATTATACATCTATAATAGATTCGTCATTTATTTTAACGAGAATGTACATGTCAATAAATGGCCAAAAATTACATTATTATGTCATCCTTATCATTATACCCAAAAATATAGAAACAAGTTTCAATTTTGGAGCCTCAAGTATCTGATACAAGACCATTCAGAGTATAGATAATCAATTTTGATGATAAAAATTATAGTTCAATATAAGTGAAAAATCAAAAACTTACCTTGGGTCATTTTGGTACCCTTTGATGTGTTCGGTATGGCGTCTTCGTCGTCCAAATTTGGCAACAGCGCAGATCCTACGCCGTGGTGATGGGCAGGGTGAGAGTGACTGTCAATAGTCGGATGGATGCTGCCATAGTCGACGAATTTTGGTTCCAAGACCATTCTGAAACAAATTATAACATTGCAGTTGTAGATAAAATGTTATACGTCATACTTATATGTGTTTCAAAGCATACAAAACTCTTAAGTGATTGTTGTGTTTTGGATATAGTACAAAATTGTATCTACAACCGATTCACTACAAAAACTTAATTATGATTACGATATTTCTAGGATAACAAATTTAGTACATTATTATCATTCAATTTTTGTAAAATGTTGTAAGTTATAGATATTATTTTGTATTCTATATAAGTTGATTTATATGTACCTATATGGAAAACTGTATGCAAAATATTTTTGAAAATTTGACAGTATGCTTATGTCAATGGAGGCAACTCAACTAAAATATTCCCAAGATCAGGTTATACCGGGAATATAGACTGTTACGATAAATTTATCATTTACGTAATATGTTTCATCTCTTCTTATTTTCATTATGATTTCAGGATCAGCAAAATAATAATTCCTAATAGTCTAAAAATATCTACAAAGTTCAAAATAATACCAGTGCTGCCATCTATTTATCAAGTGCGTAAAATGCAAATATCTATTAAATGAAGGTACTGCCATCTAGTACCTGATGGATTTATTTTTCTAAAACGTTCTCTTTCCTCGACAGTAGTCTAGCAGGCGAGTCCTTTTTATTTTTATTAATTTTTGCTCTATATTTTTGGATTCTCCCTCATAGATTTTTCAATATATTTTGCTATCAATGCATATATGCTGATAAATCTTATTTTATCTATTCTTGAAATATAAATATTTAGTTTTTTATCCAATTGTGGGCTTCCATTTTGTGTGATTGATAATGCCACGTTTATCTAAGGTGGGTCAATTCAGACTTTTGGACTAATAAATAAGGTACTGCTGCTCTGGTTTTCAAAATCAATTGTTAGTGTGGGAATATTGCACCATTTGCTTCTAAATAGAGTCGGTGAAAATCAAATTTCTGTGTCCAAATTCCAGTATTATTTATAACAAATTGGCGCCCAACGTGGGGTTGCTTATTTTAAATGAGACACCTTGTATGTGTAAAATTTTGAGCAGATTTCATGTGATATACACTACACCTAAGTTCAACTGTTTTGAAAACATTGACAGTTGGAAATTGACTTTTTCATTTTTGAATGTCATATTTCTGACACTTTGTTTCTGATTCTTTTTGACTTATTGAGTTTCTTATATCACTGTCTTTTTATAATTCCAAACTCTTGGCCACTCAAGCGCCGGGAATAATCAAAGTTTGTATCACTATTTAATTTTTGCTTTTGCCCATGTTATCTCTGTCCTTTTCTCAATTGTTAAGTTTCTTATGTCGTTTTCTTTGTCTTACTAGCTTATTCTAGGCTTTTTATTGGCCAGATATAAAAATTACATACAAATTTACACGAGGGATAATTGAAATTCGTGTTACTTTTTTGTCTTTTTCCATTTTGTTTCTGTTTCTTTCTTATTTATTAAGTTTCTTTTATTGCTTTCTCTTTATTATTCCAAAAAATTACAAAAAATTTCAAATCAATCATATGGAATTCTTGAACCAAATATCAACATATATGGTATATTTAGAATCAGAAGAAATTATCATTCTAACTTCAAATATACAGGGTGTTTCATTTGAAAAATGCAAGTGTTTGTCATTGTTTCTTTTATTGCTTTTTCATTATTATTCCAAAAAATTACAAAAAATTTCAAATCAATCATATGGAATTCTTGAACCAAATATCAACACATATGGTATATTTAGAATCAGAAGAAATTATCATTCTAACTTCAAATATACAGGGTGTTTCATTTGAAAAATGCAAGTGTTTGTCATTGTTTCTTTTATTGCTTTTTCATTATTATTCCAAAAAATTACAAAAAATTTCAAATCAATCATATGGAATTCTTGAACCAAATATCAACATATATGGTATATTTAGAATCAGAAGAAATTATCATTCTAACTTCAAATATACAGGGTGTTTCATTTGAAAAATGACACCTGTCATTTGCCCATTGTGACATTCACAAAAGATAGTAGACATAAAACCTTACAACTTTCATATATAAAGTTTTTTTCCACTTCGTATAGCTAAAGCTGTAGGTAGGGGTCAAAATATACGGAAACAGCCTTTACAAAAGAAAGATTGTGAAATTTCAAGGAATTTCCGTGTGAAATTCCAAAGAATTATATAAAAAAATTCCTTAAATATACATTAAATTCCGGTGAAATTACTTAAAATTTCAAGAAACAACTTGAAATTCTAGTGAAATTACACAACATTATAAAGTTAATTGCAAAGAATTTTTGTTCAATTTTGAGAAAATTACGTAGAATTCCAGTAAAACTACATGGAATTCCAAAAAAAATCTCGTGAAATTACTATTCTAGTGGAATTACAAAAAGGTCAAAAAATTTCAAACCATCTACAATTTGGAATTTCTTAATTTTTTCAGAAAATTTAGAATTCCCTTAATTTTTTTAAAAAAATTTTCAATTTCTAGAAAAAAAACGTAGAATTCCAAAAAAAATCGTTAAATTTTATGGAAATTAGGTAGAATTTCAAGGAATTACATGAAATTTCTGGGAAATTATGAAAAATTCCATCGAAATTATATAAAATTCCAAGGAAATTGCGTTAAATTATAAGAAAACTATGCGGGATTCCATAAAATTTACAATGCAATACCAAAAAAATTACGTGAAAATTCAAAAAGAAATAAGCGAAATTTTGATGAAATTACATGGAATCTCACCAAATGATGTTAAATTTCATGAAATTTTAGTAAACTAACATAACGTGGTAGTCAAAGAAAGTCATTTCCATAAAATTATATAAAATTCCCAAAAAAAAAAGTGGAATTTCAATGAATTTACCCTTATCTTTGTTTGAAAAATTTGCAATTCTATTATGTATTCAAAAAATTTGTATTTTTTTTTTACATAGAATTCCAGCAAAGTTACATGAAATTTTGGAACCAAAATATTGGATTCTAAAGAAATGTCATTGAATTTTTTGGAAATTAAAAAGAATTCCATGGAAATTATTGTGGAAAATTACAAGGAATTCTCGAATCGAAATTACATGAAATATTAATTAACAGAGTTGTGAAACAAAAACTGTCTCAGTGTCATTTTTTTGGTAAATTTTCAATGTTCAATAAATTCAATTTTGAAGCTTCTCAGCTGCAATACTGTTGAAATTCAATAAAATTATACTTATGTTATTACATAGAAATTCTCCGGAATTTCCCCGGGAATTGGAAATAATTCTCTGAGAATTTTACGGAGTTGTGCTAAAATTCCATGTAATAAACGGGAATTCTACGAAATTTTACTACAATTTCATGTACTTAATTACAAGGAAAATTATCGAAATTTGATTAAATATTCAAGTTTTCTGTCAAGAATTCCTCGGTATTCCAATAGAACTTCATGTGATTACATAGGATTTTTTCGAAATTTCAATGTAATGTAATGTATTTTTTTTAAATTTCAATGTAATGTAATTTTCAATGTATGTAATGTAATTTTTTCGAAATTTCAATGTAATGTAAATTGTAATTTTGATACTGGTGACATTATTTGACTCGCATGACTATTTTGACACTAATTAATATTTTTGACAATGATGAAATTTTTTAATAAACTTGAAATTTTTTGATATTGATGACAATTTTGATATTGATGACTTTTTTTCACATTATTGACAATTGTTACTAATGACAATTGACAGTTTCCGGACATTTTTTTGACACCTATGCAATTTTGACATTTATGACGTTTTTTGACACTTATGACATATTTGACACCACTAACAGACATCGGTAACATTATTTGACACAAATGACAATCATAACACCAATTAAATTTTTTGACGATGATAATTTTTTTTGACATTGATGATATTTTTTGACACTGATGACAATTTTCATATTTTTTGACAGTCTTGTTGATGTTAACACTTAACACTTATAACATTTTTTTGATAATGATAATCATCTTGATATTTTTTGACACTTCTGACATTTTTTGTCACGCTTGACAATTTTAACACCTACGAAATTTTTTGACACCGATCACATCTTTCAACACCAATGACAATTTTGACACTGGCGACATTATTTGACTCGCATGACTATTTTGACACTAATTAATATTTTTGACGATGATGAAATTTTTTGACACTGATGACAATAATGATATTGAAGACTTTTTTTGACATTATTGACAAGTGTTACTAAAGACAATTGACAGTTTCTAAAATCCAAATTCAAAATCAACAAATAACACCAATGACATTTAAGCAGTAAATGACATCAGTTTGACAAAAAATGAAATGAGAATGATTGACATTATAGTGACAATTGACACCAATGATAATTGACATGATGACAACAAACAATTAATATTGATAAAAGAAAATTAACACTGATGAAAATTATTTTAAAATTGGAACAGATGACAAATGACACCGATGAAAATTGACACTAATGACAAATGACAATAATTGACACTAATCACAATTAACACCGAGGACAATTATCAACACTGATGACAATTAGGAAATGACAATAATTGACATCGATAACAATAATTTATTGAGAAATGACAATAATTGACACTTATGACAACTGACAATTATTGACAAAATGAAAATTGAATAAATGAATACAGATCACAATTGACAATTGAATTGGAAAAAATGAGATGACAATAGTTGACACCGATGACAATTGAAAAATGACAACTGACACTGATGACAATTGACAATTATTGGCAAATGAAAATTGACACTGATTATAATCAACATTTCAGTTGTAGACTACGCCATCATATTAAAATGACAGTTTCTGAAAATTAACACTGATGACATTTTAGTTGTAAATGGCGCCAATTTGACAAAAGATGGGATATCAATAAAAGGCATTTTTGACACCTATGACATTTTTCGACACTAATTTTTTTTTCATACTTACATTTTTTTGACACGTATGCAATTTTGACACCTATGAGAT